ATTTAGGTCTCATTTAATTTCTTTTTTATTTTAATGAAAAAAAATTAAAATCAAAACAAGAAGGGGCTGGGGATTTAGCTCAGCGGCATAAGTGCCTGCCTTGCAAGCAGGCAGTCGTGAGTTCGATCCCTGGTACCAGTAAAAACGAAAAAGACAAAAAAAAAAAAAAAAATCAAAACAAGATAATGGGAGAGTAACAATAGTTAATACCTTGCATATTATTATCTTTAGCTACTCAGAGTATAAGATATAGGCATTTAATTGTCCACGCAATATTAACGCAAACTTCTTTTCAATGAACTTAGAGAAATCAGTAGTATAATTATCTTAAATATCGTATCTGTCTGTCTATCTATCTATCGTTCATCCTGTACTTATATTTCAGCATCTGGTCAGTAACACTGGGAAAGGGTTTTCGCTGCTTACCATTCTGCTATCTTGTTGCTCCTCCTAAAATTTTTAAAAAGGAAAAATATGTATTTGTCATTTGTAACTTAATTTTTGAGTTTCATGAGGACAGGTAGTATGTCTGTTGTTCACTGTTAATTTATTAATAATCAGAATAGTGCCTGGAGCACAATAATTAGCTTCTGAATGATTTTATGAATCCATTTACTCTTACATAGCATACAGTTTTTCTTAAATAGAAAATCTAAGAATCAGAGTATAAATACAAGTGTGCATTGAATGAAAATTTTAGAAATATTACAATTTGAAGATAATATCTCTCATTTATCTCCTGCAAATGCCTTCAAGAATTTTATGGCATGGAGAATAGCATGTTTGAGGTATGATATTTGTAAGGTGATTAGCTGCAGGGGACCTTAAAATTGTATAGTTTATCATTAAGATTTTAAACTGGCAAAAACAGATTTATTCCATTATACAACTAAGTTGCTGAGATGAAATTAAAATTTATCTTGGGACCTCCTGCCGACCAATTTTTGAATATACAAAACTCTTTCTTAAACAGTCACTGCACAGATCAAGCATCTCTTTAAAATAAACTGAGAATGTGTGCAATTGTATTTGTAAAGATAAATGAAAGTAACTGGAAGAATTTATTAAGAAAGAAAACTAATTGTAGGCAATTTTTGACAATCTGTGCATCTAAGACTCAAACACAGATGTAGATATTCTGATGCTGACACATTTTGTTGTAGGTCATTTAATGTAGTTTGGATTATAGCATATATGTCCAACATACTTCAAAGGTCCAGCTTGTTTTCCTAGTTGTTTCTAGTATCCCTCAGTGTGCTATTTTGGGGCTTATTATTTTTGTCTTGTGTTTAGAAATATGTTATTCATTCATAGATATATACATGCACTTAAGCTTTTGTTGAGTGTTCACTATGTGGCAGGGACAGTAATAAGTACTGAGGGTATAGCAATCAGCAAAGGAGCTTATTTAGGCAAGTGAAAGAGGAAGCAAAAAGCATGTCAAAGAGGAGGCTTGCCAGAGTCAAGAGTAAGTTTTCAATTTTAGGAGTCTTCGAAGATCATAAAAATAAAGCAGAACTTCCTGTTAGAAAAATATTGGGAGAGAGGATGGAAAAGATGAAGCTGTATAGACATGATGTATTAAGTCAATTTAGAGATTTTATTTTTCATTTCAGAAATTTTTGCTTTCTCTGTATTCCTGACCCCATACTATTATTAATGCTGCTACTTACCTAGTTAATGTCTTAGTCACTTTCCTCCTTTCTGAGACACAATACCCACACTCACTAAGTAAAGAAGGTGAGGCTCAGTAGGCTCAGTCTTTGTGTGGTCTGTTGGCTCCAAGACAGGGTGGGATGCTACAGGGGCATGAAGGGTTAGCAGAAACCACAAGGCAGCCGGGAGGCAGAGAGAGTCAAGGGATGAGCCAAAAAGAGAGATACTCTATTTTAGGTCATACTGACAGTGACCCACTTCTTTTGACCAGAACCTCCCTTCCATACCATTCCCATACTGAAACACTTTAAAAACCCCACCTTTGAGCACAGGGGGTTTCGGGGAACATCTACATCTAAACCAAAACCCCTAACATTTGTTGAGGGCTTATCCTATTGCACATATTTTGCTAACTCTTGTCATGTAAGATAGGTATTACTCATGAGAGTAACAGACTCAGAGAAGTGAAGGAGAGTACTTACTCACCTAGTAGGGGCAGGGCCTTGATTTAGACCCAGGATTCTGAATCCAGTGTTCATTTATCTTTACTAAGCCTGGCTAGCTAAATGACCTTCATTTTATTATATTGTTGAACACTTTATACTCATGTTTTCCTGTTTTTTATTAAGTATATTTCTTTAAATTGAACCACTTATAATTCTTTTGTGACAAATGTATGCCACATACAAATAAACTCAATTGGAAAAAAGTTACTGTTTAAGTAGTACTTTAAAATTTATTCAGCAAAGGGCTGGGGATTTAGCTCAGCGGCATAAGCGCCTGTCTTGCAAGCAGGCAGTCGTGAGTTCGATCCCTGGTACTGATAAAAATGAAAAAAAGACCCCAAAAAAATTTATTCAGCAAATGATTTGATAAAACAGTTGTATAGAATTTATTTTTCTATATGAAAATGTCATGAATTAATATCATTTTAATAAAGTGTGTGTGTGTGTGTGTGTGTGTGTGTGTGTAATGCCTAGCATTGTGCTTGTTGGCATGCAGAAGGTGATCCATAAATGGTAGTAATGTTAATATGCGCCCCCCCCTCCAAATGCTTAAAATGCAGTTTTGTAATCTGATTCAGTAGCCTCAGCAGCTCCTAGTAAAGTCTGCCCATGTGGGTCACTCCATTTTGGTGTTACTTTCCTTTGATATATCTCCAAGTTTGTATATTGAACTGTTGCTCTCAAAGTTTAACTTCCTTTAGAATCACCTGGAGTGCTTATTAAAAGGTAGTTTGTTGGACACTATTCTCAGTTTCTATTCAGTAGGTGCAGCGCCGTATCTGAGCATTTTCCTTTCTAGCAAGATGCAAGGTGATCTTTTGCTGCTGGTTTGTCTACCACTCATTCAAAACTGCTCCTGTGGGGGAAGTGACGCAGCTCCTAATTGGTGTGTTTTACAGGTCCAGTGGAGTTAATGTGTTGACACCATTGGTATTGCTGAATTTGTTATATGGTCTTTATAAAGTACTTTAGAGAAGTTTGGTTTGTACATCATTGTGCTTACTGCTTAGAAAAGTTTCTTAAAGGTTATTTTAGCATCATTTCAAGTTGCAGGTTGTAATTAATTTCTGTCCTTGATAAATTCAACACAATATGAAACTGAAAGAGGAAATAAGATCTAAAATGTACAGTGTATATTGTGAAATGGGAAGAAACTGCTCAAAAGGGAAAGAACAACTGGGATGGGGAAAGGAGAAAAAGGAAGAAGGGAAAAGAACACACACACACACATACACGCACACACACACACTCATGCACACACCCCTCAGGTAATTATGCTACTAATTGTTACTAGTTCATTGAAAAGGATGGTTTGTGCTTTTATCGTTTGATCAATATTTCATGCTTATACCTTGTAATCTGAACAACTGCTTTGAAAATAACAATATGCAATATATTAACCATTGTTAATCTATTGTTGTGAAGTTCTGTATCATTTTTTTTGTTGTTCTTTTCTCTTTAAAATAAAATAAAATAAAATTCAACACAAAAGTTTGCATTTTAGGAGGAAAGCATTGTCTTGGAATACATTTTATAAATTTTCTTATAATTGGTTTCTGAGAATTTTGAGTATCCAGATGATGTGGCAAATTAAAAATACTAACAACATGAGTTCGATCACCGGTACCGATGAAAAAGACAAAAAAAAAATACTAACAACAAATTTTATCCTCTATAATTCTTTTCAGGAACACTTTTAAAACTAAAATTTCATAAGCTAGTACTAGGTAGAATCTTTCACTTAAAAGATTTCACTCAGAATTACATCAATATAACATTTATCTTTTCATTTTAAAACGTAGCTTATACTTTTGGAGATATTATGCTACAGAGGGATTTTTCTCACAGTGGGAAAAAAAGGCAATCAGAAAATCTTTGTCCCTGAGATGACAGTGAAATATTCTCCCATTCAGTAATTACTGTATGGCTTTTTGTGCCAAATGTTATGGCAAAAGTCGATGCCAAAGTAATTTATCTTTATCATGTACAATGAAGGATTTTTAGTAGATTATAGCTTAATATGACCTAATTGTGTGATGAGGCTACTGATACATTCAATGCAATCTTATGCTTTGTTAATAGAAGTAGTAGTATGTATAGATCCAGGTTCCCCTGGTTTTTATTTTTCTCCACCATGTTTAGAATGTTAGTGTAGTTTGGAGGTAAGGAGAAAAAGTTAGTGTCATCTGGAAGTACAAGGGCTTGTAGTTGAAATATGTTGCTTTATATATGAGAATGAAAAATATCGAACATTTTCTGTGACGTTAGTTCATCTTACTATAATGTAAGAATCTTAAGGACGGGGAACTGTCCACCTTGCCCATCACTGTGTCCCTAAGGCTGAACAGTGTCTGGGTACTTCTTGAGTAAAATAATCAGATCTTCAAGTATTTGTCACAAAGATGACTTGTTAGTTTAGTTACTAAAATTTTTAGTTACTAGTGAAGGAATTTTTAGGTAGAGTGATTTCTGTTTTATATAAGAAGAACTTTCTGACACCTAAATAGTATGGCAGCCAATTCTGTGAGCTTTGTTATACTTGAATTCTGTTATTTAAATGTGTGGGTAGAAACTACATGGGATTTACTTTTTTTTTGGTCTTTTTATCGGTACCAGGGATTGAACTCATGACTGCCTGCTTGCAAGGCAGGTGCTTATGCCGCTGAGCTAAATCCCTAGCCCCTGGGATTTACTTTTGTACCTTTTGTAGATTAAGGGTCAAGATATTTTCAGCTATTACCACAGCTATGTATTCCTATGTTATTATTTTTTTTTTTTAACAAAAAGTAATGTCAAGAAATGAACTTTTTCTAAGTGTGACCTTTCTTGTCTTTTTAGATTAAAGCAAGGCAAAGACCTGGACCAGGAGAGGGCTGCAGCCAATGAGCAGTTGACTAGAGCTATCCTTCGAGAGAGGATATCAAATGAGGAGGAACGTGCAAGGGCAAAGCACCTGGTATGTTTTTCTTGCTTATGTTGAAATCTCTGATGTTTGGGAAAACCTTAGTACTCTGTGCCAAGTTTTAGTGTATATGCTGCCTAACAAAATCAGCGTGTCTATGCCAATTTTTAGTGTTGATATTTATGTTCTTTTTTGCTTAGGTTCTCTTGAGTTTTGCTATTTATAAGTAGCTGACAACCTAAGAGTAAAACATCAAGGATTTTAAAACAGGTAACTTCAGAAGTATTGAAGTAAACCTTGGCTGGGTAAGGCATGTTTATAATCCCAGTACTCTGGGTGCCTGAGGCCGGAGGATCACAAGTTCAAGCCCATCTGATGCAACTTAGTGACATAGTGAGATCCTGTCTTAGAATGAAGAAGAATAAGAAGTGCTGGAAATTTAGCTCAGTGAGAAAGAGGCTCTGGGTTCAATCCCTACTACTAAAATAAATATTGACGCCAGTATATAAGCACAGACACATGTACATGTATTATGCCCAGAGAAATGTGCTTGGTTTATTTTTTGCTCCCTCGGTTTTGGTTTTACTATTTTTGAAACCCCTGGGACCAGCAGCCTGGCCTTCTTTCTCTTCCTGCTAGCAACTGTCAGGTGTTCATCTTGGAAGACTGCAGCAAAGGTAACTGAAGGTTTGGTCAGTCAAGACTGGGCTTCAGAAAGGAGAAAATGTGAAGCAAGGGTGTTAGGGAATAATCTTTTGTAAAGGAATTGCTTTTTTAATACAGATTTTTTAATTTTAAAAATTTTGTAAATATTTTTCTTTAAAGAAAGATTATTCATTAAAAAAAGAAAGTTTAAAAGGCACTCATAATTGTGTCTTTCTAAAATAACCATGTTTTATACTGAAGTGTTTTCCTCTAGCATATATTTTCTAGTTTTATTATATATTTTAGGATATGGATAATGCTATATATAGTGTTTAGCATCGTGAACATTTTCTTGAAAATGCAGTTCTTAATGGCAAATAATGTTCAACCTTCTGTGTTCCACGTAGTTTATTAAATGTTTGCCTATTATTAGATAAAAGTGGAGCTGCTTAGGTTGAAACTGCAGTCCTGACTGCATAGCCCCCCACTTGAGCCTTTCCCAAAATCCAGATACAACTTTTCAGAACCTTTAATCCTTGTTGGAACACAGCTGGAAATGCAGGGGAGAGGGGAAATATAATTTAAGACTTTGAATACCAGAGGTCCTAATTCAGCAAGCAGTGAGGAATTTCTAAAACTTTGCAAGCAAAGTGTCCACTCTTTTGTGGTGATTGGTTTCTTTGTCCGTGTGCCTCTTACCTTTTTCTGTAAGTGCTTCATTCATTCATTAATGTTAAGATGATTGACATTTTTTTCTTTCAGTTTAAGTTGACACATAATTGTGTTTATGGAGTGCAATATGATGATTCAGTACATTTAATATGTAACATGTAATGATCAAATCAGAACGTTAGCTTTTCACTATCAACATTTACTATTTCTTGATGTTGGAAAAATTTTTAAAATTCTCTCTTCCAGTTTTATGCAAAATGTGTAATAAATTATTGTGAACTGTTCTCTCATGTTCTTTACCTTGATCATTCCTTTAAAAATCTGACCTATGATCTAATAGAGAAAATGAAAGGGGAGGCATTGCCTAATGAACTCACTTTTTCTGTGACTAATCCAGGGCCCAGGCTGCATGGGTTGATAGTGATGCCAGAAAGAGGTGATAACCAAGGAAGAAGTGTTTGTTTGTGAAATGGTCAAGTTTGAGGAGGAAGGTGGTGAATGGGGGAGCCAAATTTTTAGTTTGATGTGGGCAAAATCCTTGATAGTTTTTTTTTTCCCTCTGCATTGCCATTTATATCGTATCCTTGAAATACATTTTTCTTGACCTCTTATCACCTGAATTTGACATATTGTGTTGTTCATTTAGCTTACAGTTCAAAAACTCATTAAATGCACACACCCACACCACACAAGGTTTACAAAGAGAAGTTTTGCAATAAATGTGGAAGAAACTCAAATATTGTTCAAACAGCCCGTCTTCAGCCTTTTTTTCTTTTTTTCTGATAAATATTGTCTCTTGTTTTACTTTAAAATTTTTTTTTTAATTTAGCTAGTCACACATAAACTGATACTATGCATTCTATTTTATAAATTTCTTTTGACTGATTCTTAGACTGTATAATATAGATGATAAATTACAGTACTCACATCTCCTGAATTTCACCATCTATCATAATACTGGCCAGATAAAGTCCACAAAGCACTTAGGGAGTAAGAGTTGAATTTAAGCAGAGGAATGAGATCTGATACAGAGAGTCTTTTTCTGGAATTTACTTGGGTATTTGGTATATCATGGTCCCAGCAACATAGCCATATATGACAAATTAGGTAATAGATAATTCCCAATTTATTTACCAAATTTCTCCAGTTATTTTTATTTCACTATTATAGAAGACACACACTTGTTGGGTAAAGATCAGAAAATAAATCCAAAAAAATCTTAATATAAACTAAAAGTACACTGTAAGAGATGATTTTGTTAATATTTTGATTTATTTTTAAGAATTATTTTTTTCCTGTTTGTGTAAGGCATTTATATTCATATGTGTGAATGTATTTCCCAAATCAATGTACATACTTTTGTGCTCTTACAATCACCTTTACATTTGAAAACATTTAGATTATACAGTGAAAGTTTTATACTGATGTTTTCATGTGGTCATTTTTTAATGATTGAGTGTGTTTCAAAGAGTTTTCCCCCAGTAATTAAAATAATGCAAGGTTGTTAACAGAAAATTTTAAAAATAGAAAAATCAAGAAAATATGTATTATAATTTTTTCATCTCGTAAATATTTGGAGGCATAAATGCATATTCCATACAGATTGGAGAATTTTTCCATATGCATCCTACCACTCTCTGAGACAGAATCATGTGGCATGAGTTCTGAGCCTGCTATTATCTTTTTTTTTTTTTTTTATTTTTGTCTTATTGAGACAGGATTTCACTGTGAGTTCACTGTGAGTTCAGGCTAACCTTGAGCTCACTTTGTAGCCCAGGCTGACCTCAAACTTGCAGCGACCCTCCTTTCTCAGCCTCTGTAGTGCTGCAGTCCCTTGATCCTCACTGGAGAGATAAGGTGAGGATCTTTAAAACCCATGGTTCACCTGAGCGTCAACCCAGGATGGTTAACATTACCGACACTGAGTGTTGGGCACCTGTTGCTGCTGTTTGTTTGTTTACTCATTCATTCATTGTGCAGTAATGGGTATGGAAATCAGAGTTTTACGCTGAGCCTCATCCCAAGCCTTTTTTAATTTTAAATTTTGAATCAATGTTTTGCTGAATTACATAGGCTGGGTTTGAATTTGTAACTCTCCTATCTCAGCCCTGTAGTTGTGGGATTATAGGTATATACCAGCATGCCTGAGACTGCTATTCTTAACTTCTCTATGTAGGGCTCTTTGAAAGAAGACAAAACATTGGATTGTTTTTCTTTATTTAAAACCTACATGTTGCAGTATGCAGGAGAGTAAAGGTTGGTTTGACATATTTGAAGTAAATAGCTGTTTCTCAGAACTGGAGTGAGAGAAGGTGCTGCTTGATGTGATCTTGGTACAGGCTGAGCATTTCCTATCCCAAATGCTTGGACCAGAAATGTCCTGGAGTTTTGAGAATTTGTAATATTTATATATGTGTAATTAGATCTCTTAGCGATGGGACCCCAGCCTAAACAAGAGACTTACCTGTGTTTCGTATGTACCATATAAATATAGCCCAAAGATAATTTTATGTAGTATTTTATCACATCTGTGTTTTGATCGTGATCTCTTACATGAAGTTACATGTGGAATTTACCACCTGTGGTATTATGTCAGCCCTCAAGAAATTTTAGATTCTGCAGTGTATCTGATTTGCGGACTAGGAGTGCTTAAGCAGTACTATGAAGGACATCTACTATCTTTTCCCCAATTTTCCTTCCCTATTAACTCTTGACACTAAATCCCTGTCTCCTTAGATGTGAGTCAAGGCTTTTCTTTCCACAGTTTTCCTAGCAGCTAACTTTCTTGAAACACTTTGAGGGTAGACTCACAGTGACCCTACCCTGCCTTTGACATTTTAAAGGATCAGATCACAACTTTCCCTTTTGGTAGAAATGCTAGTATTTTAATCAGCTGATTTTATCCAGAGGTTTTGGTGAGGCAGTTCATGGGTGATTTTACTTCTGAAAACATTAAATGAAATTGACCTTCAGGTTATGATTCTTATAGTAGAAACAGGAAAGTACCTCTATAAAGAGGGAAAACTAATTAAGAAAAGGACAGGACCAAGTAATCTGTAAAGTTAATGCAACATAGCATTTTGTATATTTTTGAGATCCTGCATGTGTAATCTATTTAATAAGTCCTTTTCTTTTCTTTTGTATACCAGGAATCAGACTCAGGACCTTATGCTTGCCAGGCAGGTGCCGTGTCACTGAGCTAAGTTCTTAGTCCTTGTATGTGTAATTTAATAGTTGCTGTGTCACTGGATTTTTTTCCATTAAAGAATAGTGAGTTTATGTCATTTTTGTCTTTGCAACCATATTTGATTTGTTTTAAAATCCCAATTAAAATTTTGATTCACTCTTTTTTTCTGTTTTACTAAGTTTGTTATTCCTTTTTATTCATTATAGGATGATTCAGTGTTTCAGTTGTTTTTTTTTTTTTTTTGTCTTTTTCGTTTTTATTGGTACCAGGGATCGAACTCACGACTGCCTGCTTGTAAAGCAGGCGCTTATGCCGCTGAGCTAAATCCCCAGCCCCTAGTGTTTCAGTTTTTAAAAATCTAAACTTTAAACCTTAATTTTCGTACACAAGGCAGTATTTACTTAAATATTCTGAGGCTTCAAAATCTATACATGAGCTTCCTTCACTCTTAGAACGGAAGTTTTATTGAGTGCTTACCGAATGAAAATTACTATGCTAAATATTAAGGATGTATAAAAGAAAAAGAAAAAGTCTTGTCCTTAAAGGACTT